AGATGACTTTAAAGCTGCAAATAAACACTGCGTCATGTGAATAGCTTTGCTATGGCCCTGCCTGCTCCTGTCTGCTACAATGAGAACAATTTGTTTACTGTCTTTGCATATGCTCTAACTTAGATCATCCCCATGTTTTCTGATTGTCACCCACTTCTTCCTTCATCAGCCAACATGTGTCTTTTCTCATCATTCAGAGGCCATTCCAAGTCAACATTAGGTTTGATCTTCTAGAATTGGAAGACTTTAGAAATCGTTCTGTCCATTTTATAGATTAAAAAGGCTATACCAGGAGTTAGTGGCAAAACCAGGACTAGAACTCAGTTTTCATTTCCGGTCCAATTGCTCCATTACTATATTAGATTTTTAACAGCTTTCCAACCACTTAGATATGCTTTTTTCAATATTTTACATATTTTAAAAATCATTTTCTTGTCTATTTTAAATTAAAACCCCTCTGAAATCAAGAACCATGTAATCTATCTCCAGTTCTGTCATGTTACTGGGTATTTTGTAAAATGCCATACCTATGGGCTTGGTAATTTGATAATGTTAATCTCTGTAGGCACTAAAACCAACTCCACTCTTCCCTAAAGCATTTTTGACAACTGATAGATAATAATGGTCTATTTCTCATACTTTATATGAGCCCAACATGGATTTTCATTGTGTGATCCAGGGCTCAAGCCTGGTATTTTCATCAAACTCCTAATTGGAAGAGAGAATGATCCTTTAATGCTCTTGACCTCTGTGAAGGGTGGAGTTGACAGCTTGGGAAAGGAGAGATTCTGGGCTTCTGACTTTTGCCTTTTAAAGAAGACATGAGGTTCCAGGCTTTCTTCAGGGAGAGATCCCTTGAGGGAGAGAAATATTGAGAAGAGGCCAACAAGAAGAGGATTCTATTCCCAGTTTGCCACACTAAAGACTTTAGGGAATTTCCCCTTGGCTGAGATTAAGGACTTTCTCTTGGCTGTTCTCACCCCCAGTCAGAGAGTCCATTTGTTCTATGTATTGTCCATTACATTCTAATCTGTACAGACTCTCTAATTTCTATTTGCTTTTAGCTTGGATAAATGGATTCGTTTGCTTCGTACTACGTGTGATGGTCTATGTGGAACTGGCATTTGGTGGGAGAGAATCAGTTAAACTTTCAGATAGAGCATCCCTGTTAAGGGATAGTGCCTAGAAGAGTGACTTGACCCGAAAATTTATTTCCCTAGACTTTCAATAGTTGGGGGGGTAGGGGCAGATAGATATCATTCCAGCCTAGTATCCTGTCTCTGAGGAGAGGAGAATGACCAGCTGTGATCTCCTGAAGCCTTTCCCTGCAGAAATCAAAATCTTCCTTGGAGAGGGGTGGAGGAGAACACAGAGGTTGCTATCTGTTCACTCATCCCTACGAGCCATCTTAAGATAGACTCATATGTAGACACACGTAACCTACAATTGGAGTCAAGGATGGGTAGAGCAGCTGTAGCACACAATGACCTCAGCCCCTGGGCAGCTCCGCATTCTCTAAGGAAAATAAGTGCAGGTGGATCCAAACCAAAGAACCTCTTATCTTCCTTCAAATCAGAGTTTGAGAGCTCTTTCTGTATAGGGTATCCCAAAAGTCTTAGTGAAGTTTTAAATGTTAATGGCTTAAAACTGCACTAAGGTTTTTGGGACACTCTGTATCATGCTCTCTCATAGTTCTAGTTCAGTGACCTTCTAGTTCAGTCCATACCCCTCCCTCCAAATAGGTTTGTGAGAGCTAGTCAATCCAACAACAGATATTTATTTAATTAAAACTAGGCCAGCTAAAACACTCAAGTCACTCAAGTGTTCACTGGGATTATTCTGTCTCAAATCAGATAATCTTAGATGTCAGATCTCCTATCTTTTAAGTGCACTGATTTCCTGGTATGAGAATACTTTCACAAAGCACTGATCTATAAAACACATATAAAGGAACAGTGTTACTTCAGACAGTTAGCTACATCAGAGCAATTAATCAAAAAGCATTATTATGTCTTTACTATATGCCAACCACTGGAGATACAAAAACAAAAGTGAATTCACCTTGAATTTATAATCTAACAAAGGAAGACAACACACACACACATATGTATTTGTTCAGTCATTTTGATCATGTCTGACTCTTTGGGCCCCCATTTAGGGTTTTCTTGGCAGAGATACCGGAGTGGTTTCCCATCTCCTTCAGTTCATTTTATAAATGAGGAAACTCAGTGTTAAGTGACTTGCCAAGGGTTAAGTGACTTGCCCAGGGTCACACAGCTACTAAATGTAGAAAGTGGTACTTGGAATGAAGGTAGAGATTCTAATAGGGAAAATTGAGGAGGGAATATTATAAATGGGAAATATCATTAGGCTAGGACAGCCAAAATCCAGGCAATAAAAAGCTTAAAATCAGCCTGAGGCTCCTAAAATCATCACTGGAAAATATGGGGAGTGTGCTGTACTGGGCAGAATTGTACTGAACATACTGAGACCTGAGATGTGGAGCTCTGGCAGCCCAAGTCTTCAGAGAAACTCCTGAAATTTACAGGTGGTAACCTGCCAGCAAAGGAGAAATGGGGACTGCATTTGTTTGATGGAGCCAAGAAAGATGGAGTAGACACACTAAAAGAAAGGTTAGCACATGAAGAACTGATCAGATCTGGGGGCAGCTTCCTAAAGGAGTAGACCCTAATGTGAATACGGTTTCTCCAGGCACTAGGGATGGGTTTGATGAGACTGAGCATCAAGAAAGAATCCAGGACATCCTGGAAAGTACAGAAGAAGGAACTCATTCCACAGGAGTCTCCTGACCTCTCATTTAAGATCAGCAATGGCTCTCAGACGAGTTAGGACATTATCTGTAGAAGTATATATACATACATATGCATCTATATCTATATGTATATTTGAGGCAACATGGCCTAATCAGTTAACAAGCATTTCTTAAGTGCTCTCTATGTGCCAGGCACTATGCATGAGAGAGTGGGCCCAAGAGTTGGAAAGACGTGGGGTCCACATCCTACCTCTGATACACACTGATTGTGTGTCTCTGGTAAATCACTTATTCTCTTTTTATCTCGGTCAACTCTTTAAGATAAGTTTTCTTAACTTGTTTTTAAAATATTTTGATAACTTTCTATTGGTTTTCTTTGTTGTCCTATATATCTTATTTTATGCATTTGAAAACCTTTTTCTCTTTATTTCACATATATAGATTACATATACATATCTTCATATATACAGTTTATGTTCATATATACATGTACATTATCCACAGCTTGAAATGTGCAATCTGTCTCCTTGAGGAACAGAGATAAATATGTTCAAATCACTACTGTAGCCCAAAGGGGAGAGCAGTTGGGTTAGTGAAACCTGGATCCTGAGCCTGGGGGTTTAGGAGTCAAATCTCCCTTTCCTTTCATACCCACCTTGAAGAAACTGGCAGATTGAGCAATAAGAGTAACTGAAGTCAGTGAAAACCTTTCTTTGGATACGCTGATCCAGTTAATTGTGCACCTGCCCAGTTGTCGTAACTATAGGTCAGACATCACATTGATATAGTTTATGTTGATTCCAGTGCGTCAAAGTCAGGTCACTGAGAATGCTAGAATGTATGTCAACTCTAGCAGCAACTTGGTATCTAGAGTAGTTTCCTCTCCTCCATCCTAACCCAGAAACTACCAAAAAGTTACTGTAGGAACTCTAAATCCATGGCAGCAAAAAGGGTTTTTTTTAATTGTGGCTTTAGGTGTAAGTCATCTCTTCCTGAGGACAGATTCATAAGATTGACTTTAGTTTATGCTAAATTTAGATCACTTGTCTACTAGGTCTTTTTTTCTGTTAAATGTTGCCCATAAAAGTATCAAAGAACTGCAAAAAAAAAAAAAAATAGCACCTCTTGTTGTGGAGCTGCCCTTCCTCCCTGCTTCAAGGAGCAGTGGGGACTTTGGGGTATGGATCAAGATAGAAGGGGTCACTGGAAGTGATAGAATCTGTGGGTCAAGGGAAGAGAGGATAAGATGCTGGAATGCACATTGTTTGGGGCGAATTTCTTGCTGCCGAGTTCCCCCATTGTTCCATGATGGCACAGTTGTGGCCATATAAGGTTAGTGATCCCTGCCAGGACAAGATAACTAGGGCCAAGAATATCATCTGCTAAGTATTCTGCCTTGGCCTGAGTCTGTCTCCTGTGTCGTGAGCCTGAGTTTCAGACCTAGGGAAGGTTATAGCTCCTCATCTGAAGACCACTCTACTAGACTTGTGTATGAACAATGAATGGGCTATGGAGGACTAACCCAATTCCAACTGTGCCTTTTCTGGAATCCATAGTTTTAAAGCAGCTCCTATAATGAGGGGAGGGGAAGGGAGTTCCCAAGGACTGAAAGGGCTTCAGACTCTTTGATGTTGTATTCCATTAAGCATGGTGTATTAATTATTATGTGTCACTTGTTTGCTTTATGGTATCTAAAACATTTGTCATCTTCTGTGGAGAACTAATTCCATTAGGCCAAGATCAGATGGCTTCAAAGGCTTCAGAGAAATAAAGCACATCCAAAAAGTCTGGCCAGTTAAGTTGGGAGCTCAGATACAAATTCTAATTGGGTTAGAATTCCCAATTCCACTGATTTCACATGTCCCTTGCCGAAAAGTTGGCACTGCCCTGCAAGAGGTGAAGCTGAGAAATAGAAGGTCACTAACGTGAAAACCGTAGAGAGTACAGCATTTATGCCGTGCATGGGCATAGGCAAATTCTCAGGATAACCATGAGACTCCCCAGGCCCCAGATTCTTTTTGGGAAGCAAGATTGGATTGAGCAGCTACCAACACCACCTGGTGGTGGTTAAAATAACAGTATGAAAAGTATTTTATTTAAAAACAAATTTGCTACTTTAAAATTCTTTTCTTTCATTTTCTGGAATGTAGGTTTATCATTTTAAAGGTTACATATTTTCTTTAAATGGAAGAAAATGGACACATTTCTATATATATAACATCTTTATTAAATACATTTTGTCAGGGGAAAATATCCTCAACTCACAATTTATATAAATTTAATAACATAATATCAGAGAGGAAAATTTTAAATGTGATTTAAATGATCTCATTGGAGGGTGAGAACACCTTCTAATCTACACATTGGAATGACCTAGCCACAATAGAAAATAAAGGCAAAATGTCTTTTTTTGCAAAGGAATGTTACATTAAGATTCCACTTGCAAATCATTTTATCGCAAATATTCCTTTCCAAAGAAATGGATGTTCTTCCTTTTCCCTGACACCTATCCATACTTTAAGCAGTGGTAAATACAGAAGAGGAAATCCAGTTTACTTATTCCCTATGAAATATAAGGGATAGAGCTTTTGTTACATGGCACAGCATCAGAGGTTGGAGGTGGAAACTTTGGAATTTTAAGTGGTAGCAACCAACCATGACAATGGATTGGCTTAAAACATTTCTACTCCCTATTCATAGCATTTCAAGAGTTGTAAGGGACCTCAGAGTTCATCTAATCCAACTGGTACCTGAGAGATACCAGCACTATTCCCAATCTGAAGGAAACAGGATCATAGACCTAGAGAGCGTGATAAGGGATCTCTGAGGTCACCTTGTTCAATGTCCTTATCTCAAAGATGAGAAAACTGAGGGCCATATTTGTCAAGCAATTTAGCCAAGGTCACAGAAGTGGTGATCAGCAGAGCTGGGATTTGAACCCAGGCTCTCAATCCAGCTCTTTTGTCACTGCACTACATTGCCCCTCCAGCTATAAAAGAACATGAAAAGGTATTATATGCTAAATATCATCCTTATTTTTTTTACAGAGCGAGTATCATCTATTGGTTCCTAAGTGAGCTGTGACCAGTGTAAGATGAAGTCAACATGTCTAGCTATATGCTCTCTGAGGTCTGGACAAAAAGAGAACTCAGGAAGGAAGGGGGAGGAGGTTACCAAGAGTGAGTTTAAATGAATAGAATTCCTAAAACATTCATAGACCAGAGGTCAAAAAATTGAACGTTGCTGGACACAAAGTAAAGACTTGCTAATTGGATAAATTCTCGCACATTCGTAGAACTCTAGATATTTCAAATGTTTTTGCACAATATACACTCTATTAATGACATTTTGCTAAGTTTAATATGCCATATGTTTAATGTCACATCAAACTACTAAATGTGAAAGTAATAGCATTACAGTTTTGGTTAAGTTTTCAGTAAAAAGCTATAGCTGTTTAAACAAGAGAGCAAAATATTGGGTTTATTCAAGAATTAGTTCTCATATAAAAAGTTTAATATCAATGAACAATATTTCAATTTTAGACACTATAGACACTATAGAAATTATACAAGACAAGGCTAGTTTGCTGATCATATTGCATATTTGAAAGAAAAAGTGAAAAGGCTGAATTCTAGAGCATGACTTTAAATATATTTGTGATTAAAGTTAAATAACACAAAAATCAAAGCTCATTTTCCCCAGCAGGACCTGAAATAATGTATTGAGTTGGTTGATCTTTTTTCACATTATGAAAGAAAACAAACCAGTCATGATTTAATGGTATTTTAAAGAAAAGAAAATAATTCAATGACAAAAATCTGAGGTTGGTAATGAACACTTTCTACTATCAGAATTAATTACTAAATTAATCATATTATCTAAAAAGGCTGACAAATTCTAACTAGTATAAACAGGATACTAAATATCATTAATGAATATATAACCATTGTGCATACAAATAATCAATGGTTTTATACCCACTAAACTTCAGAATTCTGTAAACTGTGAGGCATTCAATATGTTTAACATGGCAGGATATTAATTACACATCTCATTATTTTATTTTGTTCAGTCCTTTCCCCATTAAGCATGCAAACACCGTCATAACCATCTTTGGCTTCACTTCTACCAGGTCGTCCGGTAGGGCATATATCCGGGCACCAATCTTTCGAGCAACCGAAATGGCATATCTTGAAAAGACAAGAAAAACATCTTATTTTCCTGGCCCTTATTGTCTACTGAATTCCACTGAATATATTTTAAGTAAGTAATGAAATATGTTGGTAAATAAGAATAATTTTCTGGAAGGCTCTGGATTACAAACTCTATTACAACAACGTCCCCCACACTCTATCACAACAATATCAATTTTATGAATAAAGTCTGTTTTTCTACTAGAATGCCCCAAAATCCAAAGGATAACTTATTTGCAAATGAACCATCAGCACTTACTTAGCATTATTCAGCTTGTCTTCGTCGGACAAGTTTTCTCTCTTGACCATTTCTTTGCGAATTGCGTTTGGTGCGATGGCATCTATTAAATCTAATACAGGTAAACTTGTGCTAATAGATTTATCCTAAAAAACAAGCAGTGAAGATCCATAAATACATTACTACTAACCTCATTAACCATCAGAAATGCCTCTTTTGACTATATAAATAAAGGCATTTATGCACTTCTCTTCATCTAACTTAGAATCTCTCTAGCCATTCCCCCACTATATATCATTTCAGCAGATCATTCCAAAATCTCCCTTTGGTAGCTACATTAATACCAGTCTTTTATTCTGATTATAATGGCACTACCTATATTAGGAAGTACTATTAGGGAGCTTTATAAAGCTAAAATGATTATTTAGCATATGAACAATGTCTCAATAGGCCAGCTGATACTATGTAATAACTGTTCACATTTAGATGCCACTTCAAGATTTACAGAAGGCTTTCCTCACAACAGTTGGGAAGTGTAGGGAGTTCAAGTATTAATATGCCCATTTTACAGATAAGGAAACTAAAAGTAAGAGAGGTTGAGTCCCTTGCCCGTGGTCCCACAGCTAAGTATCAAACCAAGACTCTGAATTCTGGCCTCTAGGCTGATGTTCTTTCCATTAGACTATGCTATGTGATGCATAAGGGTTATAATGCTGAAAGGGGAATAGAACTATCTGAAACTCCAGAAAGTTCTATAAATCAGTGCATTTCATCCTTCAGATTGTTGATTCCTAAGTCTATGTTTAATGTTTCTCTGGGAAAGATAAAACATAAGCTAAACAGGGGAGATGAAAGAGGACAAGTGGATGGACTGCAGGCAGGAGCCAAATATGTGTCAGTCAGTCAACAAATACTTATTAAGCACCTACTATGTGCCAGCTAGGCATTCTCTATCTGGGGTGCAGGGGCAGGGAGGGAGATAATATGTAAACAGCTATGTAAAAACAGGGTATCTACCGGGTAAATTAGAGACAATCTCAGAGAAAAGGCACTAAGATTAGGGAGACCAGGAAAAGGTTTTTGTAAGGAATGGGATTTTAGGTGAGACTTAAAGTTAGGCAGCAAAGATGTGGAAGGAGAGCATTCCAGGCATGGAAGGCAGCCTGTAAAAATTCCTAGAGTCAGGAGATGGTGTACAGGGTGTGAAGAATAGTAAGGAGGCCAGTGTCCAGGATCCATTGGGGGTGAGTAAGGTGAAAGAGATTGGAAAGGTTGGAAGGGGCCACGTTGTAAAGTGCTTCACAGAATTTTAGGTTGGATCATGGAGGCAGTAGAGAGCCACTGGAGCTGACTGAATGGGGGGGATGGATTTGACATGGTAACATTTGCACTTTAGGAACATCAACTTGACATTTGAAGGGAGGCGGATGGAGTGGAGTAAGGAGGATGACTTGAGGCAGAGACCAACCAGTAGGCTGCTGCAATAGTCCAGGCAAGAAGCGTTACCAGCTCGCACCGGGGTGGTAGCCGCTTCAGAAGGGCATATATGGGAGGTGTTATGGAGGTAGAAATGACCGGGCTTGGAAACTGTTTGGAAAAAGATGGAAGAGTTGAGGACAACAGGCTGCAAGCCTGGGTGACTGGGAGGAGGATGGTACCTGCAATAGTAACAGGGAAGTTAGGGAAGGGGAGATTTGGATGTTGAAAGATAGTGAGCTCAGTTTTGAACATGTTGAGTTGAGGATGTCTGTCAGCCATCCAGTTTGAGATGTCTGAATATCAGCTGGATATATGAAACTAGAGATCAGGGAGAAGTTACAGCTAGACAGAGAGATCTGAGAGTCTGCATAGAAATGCTAGTTGAATCCATGGGAGCTAATTAGGTTATCAAGTGGAAGGAGAAGAGAACAGGACCCAGGACAGAGCCTTGGGACACTTCTGTGGTTATCAGGTGTGATCTGGATAAAGATCCTGCAAAGGAGACTGAAAGGTGGTCAGACAGGTAGGAGAACCAGAAGAGAGCAGTGTCACAAAACCTAGAGAAAATGAGTACCAAGGAGAAGACATTAATCAACAGCGTCAAATGCTGCAGAAAAGTCAAGAGAGATGAGAATTGTGAAAAAGCCATTTGATTTGACCAGGAAGAGATATCTCACTGGTAACTTTGGAGAGAAGAGTTTCAGTTGAATAAGGGTAGAAGTCAGACTACAGAGAGTTAAGAAGAGAGTGGGAGGAAAGGAAGGGAAAGCATCAATCATAGACAGCTTTCTTAAGGAGTTTAGCTACAAAAGGAAGAAGAAATAGAGGGAAACAGTGAGCAGGGACAGATGAATCGAGTGAAGGCATTTTGAGGGTGGATGAGACTTGGGTGTGTTTGTAGATAGTAGACAAGGAGAGAATGAAGATTAGTGAGAAAATGGGGATGAAAGAGGGGGTAATTTTCTGGGAAAACCTGCTAGAGAGGTGCAGCAAACCAAGTAGTTCAGCACCAGGCAATTAGGAGGAAACATAAAATTGCAGTCACAAAAACAGGGACCTGGGGGTTGAGGGTACGCATAAGGTAATAAAGTGAGAGGAGACACCTTCTATGGTGGTACAGAGAAGTGGCATATGGAGGCACCTTAAGTAAGAGACCAAGTTCAGAAACAGATGGAACACTGGTTGGTAGTTTTTTCCATCTTCAAGGAACTAGTGGTCCAGTACCACTTTCCTCATGTGCACTGACCCTGTCACCGCCTGGTTTCTAAAGGAACATAAGACAAATATTCCACATTCTCCATTCCAGGCCTGCTTTTTTCCTTATGTCATCCCCTCATCCCCTTGGCTTTAATTCTGAGCTTTATGCATTTAGCTTCTAAATCTAAATCTCCAGTCCTGATCTCTCTCTAGGTAGGCAGTGCCGCATTTCCAGTGACCTTCCAGACATTTCATCAAGATACCCCAATATCACCTCAAATTCAACGAGCTTAAAACTGACCTCAGTACTTTCCCTTAAAACCAGCTTTACCTCCTGATGTCCCTATTAGAAGCAAGATATCAAATATGATGGTATCTTCAATAAGTCTCACATCCTAGAAACTCAGGGAAAAAATCCTGTTTTCCTTTTATACATATGACAGATGTGTTACAGCCTTTAAAAATTCTTGTTACTGCTTTCTTGCCAATATGGCAAGAGGTTTCCAATGGAGTATGCCAAGGATCTGTACTTGGCCCTGTGCTGTACAACATTTTTATCAATGACTTGGATAAAGGCATCAATGGCATGTTTATCATACTTGAAGGGGATGCAAGGCTGGCGATGACAGAGTCAGAATCTAAAATCCAGTACCCAGGCTAGAGTACTGCACTAAATCTAATAAAATAAATTCAATAGAGATAAATAAAAAGCCTCATGCTTAGGTACAAAGTGATCAACCTCAAAGGTCGAGGAAGCATGGTTACAGACAATAGTTCTGAAAAAAATCTGGGGTTTTAGTGCACTGGAAGCTTGGTGAGTCAACAGAGTGATATAGCAGCATCATCTTGGGCTGCTTTAAGAAAGGCATCGCTTTCAGGAATAAGGAGGTAATAACCCCACTGTTCTCTGCACTCATCAGACCCCACTTTGAATACTGTGTTCACTTCTGAGCACTGAAGTTTAAGAAGCATATTTGACTAGCTGAAGTATAACCAGCATGACCTTCAGTTCATCTTATAAGAGGACTGGCTGAAGGCACTGGAGATGTTTAGACTACAGAAGAGAAGACTTGCAGAAGAAGGGGGAGGGGATCATGAAAGCTGTTTTCAAGTGTTTGAAGGGCTGTCAAGTGATTATGTTGGGCCCCAGAGGGCTAAGCCAAGAGCCATCTCCAAGTGATGTGGGCTGCCTCCTTGGATGATCACTTGTTGGGTGTGTCAGAGTGGGGATTCCTTTCATGTATGGCTTAGACCAGAGGGTAACCAGGGTCACTTCCAACCATTTGCCCAAAGCTCCCCAGTGACCACAGGATAAAATCCAAATTCCTTAGTCTGGCATTCAAGACCATCTGCAACCTAGCCCCAACCCAAATCTTTCTAGCTTTATTTCTCACTACTTCCTGTCATGAATTAATCAGTTTCGCCAGGCTATTTTATTCAGTGTCTCCCAAATAAAATTGGACCACACCCACAACTCTGTAATCATTGTTCCCACAACGTTGGAATGCTACCTCTCTTTCATCTTTTCTACCTGCCAAAATCCTGTCCAACCAACCTTCAAAGACAAGCTTAGATTTTACCTCTTCTTTTCTGACCACCCTAACTGTAAGAGATCTCTTGGTCCTCTGAACTCCTAAAAACATGTGTGACTCATACCATTGATTTTTTACTTACCTTTTACAGACTGGTTCTGTCAAAATTACCTTTTCATATGTCTATATCTTTTCTGTACAACTGAACTATAAGAAACTGGAGAACAAGGGCCATGCCTTATATTTCTTTGTACCCTCTCATCCCGGGTTTAGAGAAAAGGGACTTCCACATAGTAGCCCATAAATATTTATTGACATCAGGCAATTTCATTGCTTCCTGTTTTTGCATCTGAAGTAATTATGTAAATCTAGCTATCCTATGATGCTGGGTGACCTCAGGCAAGTTACTAACTTCTATATGGCTTCAGTTTAAGTCAGAAAAGGTAATCTCAGGCATCTTCCTGCACTAAAATTTTATGATTTTTATTCATGTCTTTACAACTTTTAATGTCCTGAATTCATTATTACTTTTCAAAGACAACAGGAAGATAAAAAAAATTAGATACTCTTGGGGAAATCTAGGGGGTTCTGTTAGCTTCTTTTTACAAATTCTTTCCCTCCCCCCCTTATAACATCCTAGTCTGCTCATTGTTCTGCTTCTATGACTATCATATTTTTTAACCTTCTCTTGCCCATACTAGAGAAGAGTGGGTTTCAGAAGATCCCTTCTCCTTTTCCCTAACCTCCATATTTGAATTACTTTTGCTTCTGATGCCCTGATTTTAAGAAATAGCAAATCTTCCTCTCCCTCCTTTCCCCCTAAAAGTATTTTTTTATTATGTGTTCCCCCAACGTACAATTTGACTGAAGGTTTTCCATATATTATAATGACAAACACAATGCAGATGAAATAGCAAAGTAGGGTAGATGACTCACTGTATGTGTGCAAGCAAACATGCTTAGGTTTCTGACTTGAGCATGCATGCAAAAACAACAAAAAAAACTTGAAATGCACTAAAATTAGTGGGGATGTATATGAATGTATATATACAGTGTGAATGCTTTATGACTCATTGATTAAAAGTGAGTATAAGTGAATGCTAAGGGCCATTATAAATTAGATGACAAGATTTTTTTCCTACCCGTTTTCTCAGTCCCACTTGTATCTGGCTGGTTCTGTTATGCCTTGGAACTGATGTCAGTACAGTTCTGAAACTGCTGTCAGGGAGCACAAAGCATTATAGGTCCTACATAGCAATAATTATTATTTTTTTATTTTGTTTTATTTCTTAAAGGACAAAGTTATGTTTGGCTTTTGGCTTGTTTTCCTTTCTCATAAAATAGACTTGCCTATTCTGATACCCTTCAGCTGTCAATATAGGTACTGAGATAACCAGCCAAAAGTTAAAAAACTGAAATATTTGGGTTTTTATCTCTACACAACACTAAATAATTAGCTTTGCTATTATCATTTTTGTTGTTGTTTCTGTTATTGTAGCTAAACTTGTTTTGGTGCTGCCAATATACAGCCCTACACTAAATCTAAGCTATGTGACATATTGTTCATATTTCTCATTTGATGTTAAATTTAATTTCTTTGAAATGTTCTTATATTAGTCTTATATTTACCTTGAAGCTGGAAATTGAAGTTTTTTTATTTGCCTCTTTAAGAGTTTGATTCACCCATTTAATAATAATTTCATCAGTTACTTTTTCACCTTCTCCAAGATCTGATAGTACATTCAGTGTGTACCTGCAATGGAAAAAATGCTGAAATATAATATATACCTTCAGATCACTGATATAAACATTTAAGTGCATGTTATAGAATAATCCAGTTCTAAAGAAATCTATACCGTATTCATCATCACTTTGCTAATTGCATTTAATAAAGTTCACTAACCAGAATCCAGAGACTTGTGTATTTTTTCCCAAAAGGTTAACAATCTGCATTGTGAAATGTTTTGTAAAATTAATCATTGAATTTTGTTTCTGTTTCATAAATGGAACAAGTCTATTTTTCAGATACATTGTGGTTTATATTAAATGGTGCTTATCAATAATAAATCAAACTTTAGAATGAACATTTTCTGTTTTGAATTTCCTTTATTCTCTATACAATATGAAAACAACTATAAAATTTAGTTTAAGTGACTGGTTGAAAGAACAATTTGTGGTTAGTACATTTAGCTCTTACTTATCCTTACCTTCTCATCAGCTGCCATAGCAATGCCAGGGTAAGAGTGGAATTTCCTTCATGTAAGTCCTGCCCACCAATCCCAACCAAGGAGAATTTGGCCTTATTCTTTCCAAGTTCCACTGCATAGTTACAATTTTCAAGCTACAAATATAAGTATAAGCCTTACCATAAAGATAAAAGACAAGTATCCATAAAAATTCTGCTAGACTAATATAGTTAATGAGCTAAGCATCTCTTAGAATCTTGTGTAATCAGTACTAGTTCTGCTTATACCCCAAATTGAGAACATGAAAGCAGCTGTGCTTTTAAGAATTAAACATCATTCTTATGAAAAAATGCTATAAATCTCTATTGATTAGAGAAATGCAAATTAAAACAACTCTAAGGTACCACCTCACACCACATGGACTAATATGACAGAAAAGGAAAACAATAAATCTTGGAGGGGGTATGGAAAAATTGGGACACTAATGCACTGTTGGTGGAGTTGTCAACTGATCCAACCATTCTGGAGAACAATTTGTCCAAAGGGCTATCAAACTGTACATACCCTTTGACCTTGCAAATACCACTACTAGGCCTGTATCCCAAAGAGATCAAAAGAAAGAGGAAAGAACCCATCTGCACAAAAATATTTATAGCAGCTCTTTTAGTGGTGGCAAAGAATTGGAAATTGAAGGGATGTCCATCAACTGAGGAATGGCTGAATGAGTTGTGGTATATGATTGTGATGTAATACTATTATATTATAAGAAATCATGATGAGCAGGATGATTTCAGAAAAACCTGGAAAGATTACATGAACTGATGCATAGTGAAGTGAGCAGAACCTGGAGCACAGTGTACACAGTAATAGCAATATTGTATGATTATCAACTATTAATGACTTCTTAGCAATACAATGATCCAAGACAGTTCCAAAGGACTTATGATGAAAAATACTCTCCACCTCCAGAGAAAACTGATGGAGTTTGAATGCAGATGAAGCATACTATTTTTCACTTGTATATGTGTGTGTGTGTGTGTGTGTGTGTGTGTAGTTTTTTTTTGTTCTGTTTTCTTTCACAGCATGACTAATATGGAAATATATTTTGCATGACTGCACATGTATAACCTATATCAAATTGGTTAACATCTCAGGGAGGAGGCAGGGAAGGGAGAGAATTTAGAACTCAATTTTTTTAATGAACGTTAAAAATTGTTTTCATACGCATTTGGGAAAAGTAAAATATTAAAAAATAACCATCATAAAGTAAATTCTATAAATATAAGGCTATAATATTATGAATTCTCTCTTATTTCCAGTAGTCTTCATAGATATATAAACTCTGTTTAAAAGACATTCATAATCCAGAAGCCCAAATGTACAAATTTTAAAAGCAAGGGAACAGATGCCCAATTTTTGGAGCTTCATAGTGTGCTGGCTGTAGAACTTCCTCTTTAGTGGGAGAATAGGCAGTGGATACAATTTAATTTTATAATTTAAAATGGGAGATGCTTTCTAAAAGCCTGCAGAAATCTACTAATTTAAAATGGAAATTAATACATGGGAATATGCTGCATAGCCAAATTGACTGCAACATGTGTGGGGAGTAAAACAGAAGAGTTTGGAGGGGGGAAAAAAACCTACTCCAAGGTTGCAAGCTTGGGGCTTAGGAAGATGGTGGTATCACTGACAATTACAGCCAAATTGAGAAAGAATGTCAGTTTGAGGGAAAAGGTTAATTCCTTTTTTGAAATGTGGTTTTAATAAAAACACCCAACTAAATATAGCCTAAAAGTACCTAGAGATACCAACCAGAAAATGGATTAAGTTTGGAATTGTGCCATGTTTATAAGTAGTAACTAAGGCCAGGAAAGTGCATGAATTCCCTTCTAATACTGTCCCTCTTGGCCTTAGAGAATAGCCACACTTATTGGACATAAATAAGAAAAACCTTCAGAGGACAAATAAAATTAGCAGTTAAAAAGGTAGTATAGCATCCTGGAATTAGGGAGAGAACAATAACCAAGAGTTTCGAGAAAACCAGTATCTCCAATGGTTTGAGTAGAAGTAAAAATGATTATCTTTTGGAAGAACGGAAAAAGTGACAGATTTTCAAAATCAGCAAATTTAAAAGAAATGGTGAAGAATGAATGGATAAGCATGTTAAAATTTATAAAGTCTATAATTTTCACTTTTTTAATTTTCAATTTCCTTTTAATCCTCTTCCAATAGGAACAAAGTATTGCTGTAAATACTACAGTTCTTTGTTTACAAGTTCCAAGAAAAAATTCCTGTAGTACCCATATATACATAATATCATTTCTTTTTATTGTTATCCCATGAGTTGCCACTGTTGTTTTATATTTTATAACTTTTCATTTGTTTATTTATTTGCTTGTTTCATCTTCTTGGCCTATTCAAAGGGATTTTCCTACCATTCCTCAAATTTGCCTTTGACTTTCCTTTTGCTCATACAATTCTCTCTGCCTACGATATCCTCCCCTTTGCCTTGTCGTTCCTAGCTAATAGAACCATGTATATTCTTCAAGGCCTAGTTCAAATCCCACTTCTTCCCATGACTATCTATGCTAGAAATTATCTTTTCTTCTTCTTTTGTATCTTTTAGCCCATTATTCATAAGACATAGGATATACTGCTTTATATTATAGTTAATTGAGTGCATGTCTTATTTTCACAAATAAATTATAAACTCCTTAAAGGCAAGAACTATATCTTAATATTATTTGGATCACACATAACATCTGTCATAGTGTTTTGCATTTTGTACAGATACTCAAAAATATTTATTGAATGAATGAATACCACCTAAAAAGGCTAAGTCAGTAGATACAGAATTTGAAGGACAGATTAGTAAGGGAAGAAATATATTAAAGTTTTAGATTTGTGTGTTATAAAGTACCGCAGGTTGGAGATAGCATAAAATGGCTCTTTATTATGCTTGCTTTGAGGTACTAATATCTTTCCAAAACTACTAAAAAACATATATGGAACAAAGCCAATCACCTCAAGAAATGTTTGTTTGAATCAGACCCCCTTGTGAATCCCTGAATTCTTTGGGAGAGATCAGTACAGTAACAACTAATCTATGGAATGACAGATACAAAACTACTTCATTTACCTTTTTCATGTTACCCCCAAGTGCAGGATAAGGAGGTTTGTTGACATGGCTCCATTCTACTGGGACTCGAGTCATTTCATACAGCTGAAAGATCACTAAAGCATCAGCAAGGTCACTAGGAACAATATGAATAAACAGGAAATGTTTATATTCAAGTTCAAAATTATTCCAAGTAAGCTTCATCTATAACCAAAAATTACTATAACCCAGTTACGTAATGCTTAGAATATTATAGGAACATCACACTAACTCCATAGATGTTAGCTATTCACAATGGGTTATGAGGAGTACATGGAACACATTTCATGAACTGAAAACTTCTAAGGTACAAATAGTACTTTAATGGTTCTGTGATGTTATTAGTATGAATATGCCCTCCAAGGGTTCAGATGGTAATCCAGCCCCAACTCAAGCTGTGCAATACTTTCTCATGCCCCCCCATAAATCCTCAACAGAAGACTGATTCAACGTCTTGGAGACCTCCTTCTTGTATTTAACATTTCATGGGTGACTTTAAAAGGACTTTACTGATGAGCTCAGAGAATGTTCTTCAATGTAACCAATTCTCAATTTTCTATTCTAAGAGAATGATGCAATAGCAATTGATCTAAAATAAATATTTGGGGATATATCATTTTCCCCAGTATTTACCTCTTTAATTATATTTGCTTTAGATTAATATTCATTTAAAGGATATTAATATTAATTAAATAGTTAATTTAAAGGATTAATTTGTATCAGCAAAAGGCTGTTTTGGCATATTTGTCCATAGTCTCACATTCTGAATAGAGCTTTCAGTGAATACTGGTCTAAATTACCTGCATGACATTACATGTACATGTCACAATAGTACATAATATGTCTATACAGGTAAATATGTATAAAAAGCAATTCAATAAATAACATCAGTAAATTTACATAATAACAGAACATCCATATATAGCAGCATATGTGCAGACAAACCAAAAAATTATGCATAGCTAATAGGCAAATATATTTGAGGCACATAAATAAGCAATAATCACCACATACATCAATGAACCTAAGTGATCTGGCTGTGTCTGTAACCACTTCTGCAGTTTTCACTGTAATAATCTAAATAAGTCTGGTCACTGGTCAAATAAACCTATGTGTCTTGAGACCAGCTAACCTAGCTGCTCCTATACCTAAAGTAGTTGTTCCTATACCTAAAGATCAGTTGGTCTGATCATAGTCCCTTTTTTAAAACTGTAATCCTACCTCCTTAAACCTGCATTTGTGGAGGGTCCAGGCTGGCTAGCAATGTTACAGTGCTCTGTGGAGATTCTTGGTGCCCCAGGAGTTTCTACAGCTGAAGTTCCAGACAGGAAAAATATTGTCTCTGAGTTCAATCTCTCCCTTCCCCCTCACTTAAACTGACTGTCAGATTTACAGTATACCAAGTTTTCTTCCCTTGAAATTTCTATTTCTGAACCATCATCTGGTTCGGTCTCTAAAAAATTAGTAGGTGGTCTCTATTGCACTGAAGTAAATGCCCATGAATTTTTTCCTTCTTATCATGGAGTCCAAGTAATTCTTCTTTAGGCAATAAGTGGTAGTGATGAATTATTTTTAGAGAGGATCTGAGGCTATGTTATAAATGAAATAGTTTTCCAGTCTCTCTACAACTAGGTATGGAGTAGTTTTCTGCCAACTGAGGTGTCTCATGAAGCCCACGATTTGTTAGTAAAACTGTCTCCTTGATTAAGGTCTTGACAATAAAGTCAGGCATTATACCATGGATTGTTTTGGTCAGCACTCTTCTAAACTGAAGGTGCTAGGTGGTAAGCTCTTTTCACTTTTCCTCTAAGGTTGTGTCTATAGTTTTTCCAGCCTGAGATGTTCCAAAACACAAGTCAATATGTAGGCATGATTGTCACCCAGACTTTAGAAAGTGCAGTATAAAATTGGTGGTAGCATGCTGGTAGAATTGGCATTCCCGTACCAGAAAATGCCAGTGCTATATGTTGTCACTGAAGAGTTTCTGTTCTTTTTTTTTTTTTTTTTAGTGAGGCAATTGGGATTAAGTGACTTGCCCAAGGTCACACAGCTAGTACATGTCAAATGTTTGGTCTGAGGCCAGATTTGAACTCAGGTCCTCCTGACTTCAGAGCCAGTGCTCTATCCACTGTGCCACCTAGCTGCCCCAAGAGTTTCTGTTTTGATCTCGGTGTCCCCAACATGTTCAAGAATGTGCAATCATATCAGTTGCACCATGGATCCCCTTGAGGGTGGAAAAGTATAGTTCTAGACTTTAATCTAGCCAAAGCTAGCATCTTTTTTGAGACAAAAGGCAAAAGGGGTACAGAAGCAGACAGTGTGGGAATGGCAGAATGTGATGGTGAAGAGAGACAGGAATCATGAAGAAGAGCATAGGGAAGATGAGTCACTTATATATCTGTGGACTAGAGGTGGGAGCATTCGAGCAAGAGGAAACCTTAGGAATTGGAAGACTGTTGGTGGGGAGGGAAAGGGCAGGAGTTTGAAGGTCTCTTTTTGATAGGTCCCTTTTTGGAGGTACAGACTCTTATCTGTGCCACCTTGGGATTAGTTCTCTAACATATCCAAATCATCTCAAAGTTATTAGTAAAACTTTAAAGTAAACATGCCCACATCATTTAAAAGTTATCAGCACCTTTTTGGTATTCTGCTGGTCTGGAACTATAGAGGTCTGCAATTTGTCTGGAATTTATGTATCATAGGACCAGAACCCTGACAGTAGCACCTACATGGCTTCTTCTGATTCAGCACATATTACCAGGATGTGAATTTTGGTTACTATATGATACAATTTGTAAATTATTCTTCTTTGATCTTTTGGGTGGTTTGTATGTCAGGTTCCCCTTTGCAATCTTATTTCCTGCTATTGCCCCTTTATTCTGACTACTTATAAATTTACTTACTCTACTGATTAGCAAAGGGGGATGGAACAAGATACACTTTTAACACATGATGCTTAGGGGCTGCTGTGTGTGACAACACTGACCAGTAGGTATTTAAGATAATTTCTAAGATCAACCATCATAGATAAAGGAATCTTCCTAGATAATCCCCTGGACTTTGCACAGTATCTGGCATGTGGAAAGTGTTTAATAATGCTTGTTGACATCACCATCACTGCTTTTGGAATCTTGTGAATCCAGGTGAAATAGACCCATCTGCAGTTAATGAAGAAGTAAAATTCACTTTTAGGGGGGTCCAGGGTATGTTCTTTTCCTGGCACTGTCTTCCCTTCCTGGTGGTAGTCATATTGTACCAAAGCTGCATTCTCTTCACATGTGGATCCAACTTGCATATGTCCATCTTCTCAGCAGTTTATCTGCCTTGCCTATCCTTCTTTTGTGGTTAGGTTCTGGGCTTTCACGAACCACTCTCTTATAATTGCTTCAACGACCCTAGATAATTTAGTGCAACTAATCCTTTCAGGAAGCAATAATTGTGCCTGAGAATTAAGATTTCCATTAATACTTACAAAAGGTTTTGAACCAGTTAGTTATTGACGAATTTAGGTAATTAAGTCCTGATTGTTTCAAAGATAACAGCTGATGAAGTTCAAATGAAATATCTGTGTTTTTAAAAAGACAAGGTGATAAAATCTATAATAAAAGAAACCAGAGGATTTTTTTATCCATCCACCTCTGGGAGGAGACATTGCAGAAAGTCATTCGCAGACACAAAGGGAAGAATTTAGAACAATGTTTTTGAGTTCTGTCAATATTAATGCCTTATTATAATTTTCAATACAAATTATAAAATAAATCTCTTAAGTTATTTGGGGAAAAACTAACATCATGCCCAGAAGCATTATGATTTGGCATTTCAGAAGATCCCTGATTTCACTGATGCACTCTGTCCCTTCACTGGTGAAAATCATGACATAGTCAGCGATTTCATGATTTGTCATGTCCAAAAATCTTCACCACCAGGCAATCACTCTTGGCAATAAGCCTCTCTGACCTTTACCAGGATGACCCTCAGATGACAGACACAGAGCCTGTCTCTAGGCATGATATAAATACATATTAATATACATGTGTGTATATATGTGTGTACATGTGTGTATACATGTGCGTATTTTTGACTCTCCAAGACCCAAGGGAGGAGTTACATGTTAGAAAAAAGTCAACAGGTGTTACAGTATAAATACAGTATACATGGAAGTACAGGAATGATTTTTTGGGGGGAAATATCTCTTCTCCCCCCCCCCAAAAAAAACCCCTATTGTAACACTATAACTAGGCAGATTTTGGAATATTGATAAGCATTTGTAAAATATATCTCCATTCTTTTAATCAGTACAATTGAAAGTCAAAATTAATTGGTTATTTCTTGGTGAGCAATTCAAATGAGGCAGAACGATTACTTTTACTAAAATGCTTATTTATGTAAGCATTTGAAATCTAACTTTAACTAGTTAATTCTATGATTTCATTTTAATTTCCCTTTTAAATCCATTGCACTGCTGGGTATCACTCAGTCTTTGATTCTACGTGTTGGCAAAATTCATGATTTTAAAAAAACATTTTTTAAAGATTCAGGATTAGTCCTTAAAGGGTTTATCTTTAACAATAAAGATGGAAAGCAATCAAATTTTTACCTGTACAAGTGATTAATATATGGAGTGACACCCAAAGAATTCATCCAGTTCCGGAATGTTCTCTCTTCTTTGCTTTCTCCTATAGTAGACATGAGTTTGTATTAAGGATTTGGGGGTGGAGGGAGAGTTCTTACACTTAAGCCAACTGTATGTTAGTAGTTGTGGTTCCTGCACTGTATTTCCTTTAGAAAACAATTCCCATTTTGCAAATGGCAATCATTGCTGCGGAAGTCTTTATGTACTTTTGGCATTGCTGAGCAGAAAGTGGGATTCCTTTGAGGCTACACTATGTGCAACAGTTGATATTTTTAGACCTGTAGTTTGAATTCAGTTTGAGGGTGGGGTTCTAAATATTAATAAGATTTTTTCATATTAAGTAGAAATAGAAAAGCTGTCATTTGCCAAAGGAAATATATTAAAAAATCAGTTTTTCAAAAGTGGCTTCTAAATGTATGTACTTTACTTTTGCACAGAGAAACTAATGTAGTATGTAAATTTATACCTTGTCTATGGCAAAAGGGGGAAGGGGAAGGAGAATGAGAGCTAAGAACAAATGCAAAATACCGTAAAAATCCACTGTTAATCCAGGTGTTAAGAGACATAGCTGACATTTTGATACTTACAGGTCACCTGTGTCCTGCTGGTAGTTTCTACTATAAATGTATCAGAGCTACAACCTTCCCAAATGCTACTTAATCATCTCCTACAGCTAAAATTTACTTTCTACCACATTAAGGCTATGGCACTAGAGATCACTTTAGATAAACACCCCTAAGTACCACTATTTGGCCTGTGGCTACCATCACCTCCTTCAGGATTCCCACCGTGGCAGTATTTGTATCAATCTAAGGAAGGTAACTCATAAGATCTTATAAGTATGAAGGAATAATTAAATCTCTTAAGAAATGCAGTGGAACATCCTGGGATTTCACTGTAGTGTTCTCTCTTTCTATGCTTTCTAGATTATAACTAGACCCATGTACTTTAATTTCACTCACATTTGGCTCTCTAGATTTATTTCTTGGTGACAGTATTCTATCATCCTAGTTTGAGTCAGCGAGTGCTGGAAAATCCTAGAATATCATTAATCACTTGAGTCAAATGGACAATTGACAAGGAAGGAATTTGTACCATTCAGTACTCATAACCCATAGGCTAGCCCAGCTACACATTCTGTAAGACTTCAGACAATTATGATTCTTTCCAGACTCTAAGGGGCACAAGTCCTTAAGAATAGGGTCAGTTTTTCCATTCCTTTTCATCACAGAACCCCCAGGGCACTTTCAGACCAAGTTCCCTCACCTCAGAATCAAAAGGGCCAATTAGTCTAACTCACACATGACTGAGCATCTCCTCAATTATATCCCCTATCAGTGGTTATCCTTAGTTTGAAGACCTTGATTAAAGGTGAGTCTTCTACTGAGCAAGGCAACCTATGCTATTTTCAAATACATCTAATTATTAGGAAATTTAGTCTTGCATTAAGCCTAACTCTATCTCTTTTCACTTTCTACCCATTGTTTCTTGTTCCATCCTCTGGGCCAACAGGGCAAATCTACTCTCTCTTCCACATGACAGCCCTTGAAATACTTGATGACAGCTAACATATGTCCTCTGAGTCTTCTTTTCTCCAGGCCAAACATGATTAGCTCTTTCAACCAATCCTTACTGACATGTTTTCAGGGATCTAACCCTTCACCATACTGGTAACCCTCCTTTGGATGCTTTCCAATTTATCAGTGTCCTTCCTAAAATGTGGTACCCAAACTGAACATAATACTCCACATTTTGGCTCTCCAGAGTAGAATACAGTGGGATCATAACTTCCTTTATCCTTGACATTCCGCTTCTCTTAATGGAACCTAAAATAAAATCAGGGTTTTTGGTTGCTATATTGCATTGTTGATGCATATTGAACTTGTTTTCTACTAAAATCCATAGATTTTCCTCAAATGAACTGCTATCTAGTCATTTCTACTCATTTGCGAAATTGATATTTTGAAGCTAAATTTAAGCTTCACTTTAATCCCTATTAAATCATATTCAGCTCAAAGTTCTTGCCTAGTTTGGATTCTGACTGTATCACCCAATGTGCTGATTATCCTTTCCATTTTTGTGTCATCTGCAAATCCTAACTGACTTTATTCAAATTGTTGATAAAAATACTAAATGGTACCTGTTTAAATACTAATCCCTGTGACATTCTGCTAAGGACCTTTCTCCAAATTGACATTGAGTCATTACTTGAGTATTCTGGTTACTGGACACTCTCTACGCAGTTCTAAAATGAAATAGCAAGAGTAATCTCTAGAGCCATGTTGGTTCTGAGAGTCAGGGTAGGAGTGAGAAAGAGGAAGGGAGGATCTGGGGCCTCACAGGTTTGATGGCTATTTCTGCTAATGAAAGGGAAAAGGCAAATAATACAATGGATTTTCAATGTTTTCAGTGTTAATCATTGTATCCTTTCTTAGGTTATTTTGCTTTTATTTCTACTAAACTACACATGGCATCTATTAGGGAGATTATTCTTTTTTTTAAATCACTTCTCTGCTTCTCAATAGACATTTATAAAACATTATTTTTTTTAAAACTGAAATGCCTAAAATTCATACTTTCCTTTTTCCTAGCAACCATTTAACAATTCTAATTAAAGATAGGCAATGTTTTCAAAATGATAGTCATCAAGAAATATAAATACTGAAATTAAAGTTCAGTGTGTGTGACTTGGACTTGCCTTTTTCCCCAAAAAATAACAGAATTAGAATCGGCAAATATAGCTGGAAGGGGCTTTAGAGATCATCTAAACTAATCACCTCATTTTATCAATGAGGAAACTGAGACTTAGTGAGCCCAAGGTCATATTTATAATTAAAGTTTGGAGCCAAGATTCAAACCCAAGTCTCAATTCCAAGTTCTGATTCAATCTCTTGGACTTAAAAAACTATTTAGGGAATAATTCTGAAGGTCAAAATATAAATTACACATTTTCATAATGTCATGGTTGCATTTTGATTTAAAATAATAATTAAATTCTACCAAGCAGTCATGATGTAATGAACAGTGGAAAATGTAAATATTTTATTTGTTCTCAGGTTGTTCTGACACTTTTATCAGCTTCAGATTTCTTACTGATTTTTAAATCTGAGTGTAAGCAAGAACAGCATCAATTTAAAAATAAGTGATATCTAGAAAGTAAATAAGTTCCATAATGGAGCATTTATTTATCAAACTCTTAGTGTTATCTGTAAATAAATGCTCAAAACTTGAGATATCATACAATGTACAAGAGTGACTGGTAAGCAAAATAAAAACTTCTGGACTGGGAAGAATTTTCTAGATTGGAAGTAGAAATAAAGGACACTGCAGAAACTTTAGTGGTAGAAGACAAACTATTCTTTTAATCTGTTGTCCATTCCCTTTGATGGAACTCCAAGAATGCTAAATAGGCTCATTACATTCTTATAGAGCCATAAAATAATGGAATATTATGGACATCTATCCAGAGATAATGTATGATGTCATTCATGTGTAGAACAGCAATTCTTCAATAACTTTGTTATTCACAACAAAGTTTCTCTCTGAAGTTGGTCGATATACAATTGTGCTTTGTTTAATAAGAAGGATCTAGGGTTTAATTGTATTTTGAAAGATTTCTTTGGATTTTATTAAGATACTTTTCAGTAAGATTATTGGCATTACGTAAGTTTGGGTGGTGATTATGTCTGAATTTGTGGGGAAAATACTGTTACCTAAATTCTACTTATTATATGTCAATGATAATATGGCAAAATTTCCATTTTAATAAGTAGTACATAAAAACATAAATATCCAGAAAAAAAGTCGTCTTAGGTTCCTATCTGTTCTAGATTCATGGTCCTAAATATAATGATTGCAGAGTCAAATGATTATTTTTAAAGGAGTATGTCAGGAGATATGTTCTAAGGCAATTGATAAATACTTCCAGCAGTATCATCTTAAAATTGAACATGGTAAATACTAAAGGAAATATTCAGCAATACCATTCACACTGAAAAAAATCTACCAAATGCATGCTGAATACTATAGCAAAGGAATCCAAACAAGACAAAAGGAGGTAAGAGCCAGCAAGTTCAAGAATGCACCTCTAACTAGCAAGAGTTCAGGGACTAAAAATAGCAGACCATTTTTAATATGCCATTCTAAACAAATGTCTTTTATAGTAAAACACAGGAATTGTGAAATTTGCCAGAGTTGTGAAAACCTAGCCTTCCTTAAAAAAATTTTTTTCCAATACTTCAGTTTAAATTTCCATTTTTTTATGGAACCGTCTTATGGAAACATGACATTACTGCCATTTACATATGTATAATAAGGAAACATATTCTTTAACTTTGAAGCTATTTAAATATAAAAGAAATTACTGTGGTTGTCAATTGGCACAGCAGGTATAGTGGTAGAAATGAAAATTCTTTATTTATGGTATTCTCAGAGTGATGGAGGTTATAAAAGATAACAGAAGAGGGGGTATATTCTTGACTCTTGTCCTCATTACCAAAGACAAGGGAGGAATATATATATGTGAAAGGGAGAAGTCTGGGAACTTTAGTTTTCACTTTTCAGGAATGGAGGAGGCTGCCATTCTCTGATACAAACTGAAAAGAAGGGTCATCATTAACAATGGTGTCTTTTTTCAGAAACTCCATTGCAGCTGTCATATTTTTTTTCTTTTAGATTCTTAAACTAATATGAATAGATGTATAAGGCATGAGGAAATGGGAGGGTAGAAAGGACAGGAAAAATAAAGAGAGAATTTTTGTCTATGTTGACTTTTATATTGCATGTTGCAAAATAGGGTACTGGCCTTTTCCTATATTGTGTACAGTAAGATCCTTCAATAAGTAAGGGGTAATTATATATTACAAAATACGGTTTTGTAGAAGGATCAAAGTGAACCCTTTCAAAAATAAGAAGCAGGAGAGGATTATGGACATGTAACATAGAGAAAAAAAAAGACTTAAAAGCAAACTGTGAAGTCAAATCATCAAAATAAGTGTGTTTTAAACTGTAATATCCTACTACCCTAAAAAGAAAATCAGATGATTAGTTTATATTATCAAAGATTCACTTCAGGGACATAATTTAAACTATACTTTTGCTTCTCCATCATAAGTCATTCTTTCGGCATATTAAGACAAGGATAACACAGCATAAATAATGCAAAGAAGAAACACCAACCCAGAAGAAAAGAATAAATGGTAATAATAGAAAAAATTCAGAATAAATAAGTTTATGGATAGAAAAGTACTAAATACAGTACCTACATTAGGAGGGGTCAAATCTGCATTTCATGAAGCAAAACAGGAAAGTTATAAATTATGAGATAGATAATGACAGCTTATATATGATAAGACAATAAAGTAATAAGTGTTTCATTCCCCCCCACACACACCTTATTAAGACCACTGCAAAGAGAACCAATCTGGAGAAAAATGAAATTGCTCTTTAGCTTTAAAATGGAAAAAAATATTCCAATCGTGTCTTCTAATCGAAAACATGTTATCCATATTAGCATGATTATATGTTATTATTTAATGGATTTCTTTTTTTTAACATATAGGAGTTTTCACCAAGCTAATAACAGCTGGGGAAATTCTAGGGTTTTGTTTTTTTTTTACCCCAGTGTTTTCCTTTATCCAATACTCGCTGGATTCTAATCCATTAACATATACATATGCAAGAACACATGTGTACACATATACAAATACACACATCCTCTCACTCTTAGCTATCCTTGATTGTTACAGTGAGCCAGCAGTGTTCTGAACAGAGCATGACAATTTAAGACTGAAAGAACTCACCTTCTAACAAATTTATATCAATGTCATTATTCTCAGGCTTGTGCAGACATGGATATGTGTTAAACAGATTTGCTACAAAAGCTAAATTAAGTTTAGGATTTCCAGAAACCACATCTGCAGGAGAAACAAATTGCCTACAGCCCAGTTTGTCAGCTTCTTGAAGCATCAGGTCAGCTCTCTTCAGATCATTTTTTTCCTGTGAAGGAATGAATGAATGAATGAAAAAAAAAGCATTTATTGAGAATTATCTATATACTTACATGTAAACAATGCTGGTTGTCAGCAACAACAGCATGATTTTTTAAAAATTAATATCTGGGAAGTAAATAGGTTTCATGTAAGAGACTATTTATCTAACACTATTCTCTAAAGCTACACGTTGAAACCAAAAAACTCTCAAGAGCTAATTCCAAAATTTTTATTAGCTTATTCATACCATACATAAACATTCTTCTGCAAATATATCTGATGACAGCTTGACTTAACAAGAGCATAGAGTCTCCAGGAATTTCTACAACTCTGGCTATGATTATTCTAAGTCTGTAAGAAGCAGGGATTAAGTGTCTTATTTAATCCACTATATTAGAACAAAAATAACACCTTACATTTGTGCAGCACCTTACTAAGTGTTTTAATATTTATTATGTCTTTTGATTCTCATAACAACCCAGAGTTTTTAGGCAAAGCAAGTATTCTTCTCATTTTGCAGATTAGGAAACAGGGTCTGAGAGGTTAAATGTGTAAGGTAGCATTCTTAGCGAACGCACACAATCAGACATAGATCTCAGATCTTCTGACTCCTGGTCCAATGTTCACTCCAATGAGCCATGCTGACAATAGACAAGATAATTACTGCCTATACAAGAGACATCTATAGATGGACTGGCTCATGAACTAGCATTCAACCTAGTCTAGATTTAGTTCAAACTGTAGAAAATGTCCTAAAAGCATGAAATATTGATTAAAATAATTTTGTCATAAGAAATTTGCGAAAATGAGACTAGTGTCAGAATTAAGTTATTTATTATGTCTAAACATATGAAATAACTTCAGGAAATAAAGTCTTAAGTTTCCATATGTTATCTCTACTGAGATAATGTATATTAAGGAAACCTTAAAATACTATATACATGTCAGATAGTTCTTATGAATTTTACTTATTCATCATTGTTCATCTTAGGCTCAGAAATGAATTCCTTCCTCTGTTACCTAACAACCAACTCATTACATGAAAAGTATTGCCATTTTTTCATATAGCAAGGTGATACCACTCACTCCATGCATAGATAACAATCTATTTTGGAATTTTCTCCAAATAATAGCCATTCAATAAATAACTCTATTTGTATTAATCACACTCCCCAAATCCCTGAACCCTTAGTGGTCTTTCCTACAGGTTTCCTGTCTCAAGAAAAAACAATGTTTGGGATGAGAATAAAAAATAGAAACTACATGAAGGGACTGCATCGGGGCCAATTAAACATACTAGCAAAGTGCCAAGGCTTTCAACAACATAATTTCCAAATTATTTTACATAAATTTATTATACTATGTTCTCAAACTGTTCATTACAACTATTCAAGATAAAAACAATAAAAGTAATAAAATAATAAGAACTGGCTTCCTTCAAGTCTCAATTAAAATCCCACCTTCTGCAAGAAGCCTGTCTTACCCCCACCCAACAACTTCAACAAAGTTGTAGCATATAAAAGAAACTCACATAAATCATCAGTATTTCTACATATTACTAACAAAGTCCAGCAGGAAGAGATAGAGAAATTCCACTTAAAAAAACTACAGGCAATATAAAATACTTGGGAGTCTATCGGCTAAGACAAACTCAAAACCTATATGAACACAATTACAAAACCTTTTCACACAAATAAAGACAGATTTAAACAACTAGAGAAATACTAATTGCTCATGGGTAGGCTGAGGCAAAATAATAAAAATGGCAATTCTACCTAAGTTATTTGCTTATTCAATGCCATGTCAATCAAATAAGACTAGGAAAATAATAATATTCATCTGGGAGAACAATTAAGCAGAATATGAAAGGAATCAATTAAAAAAAACTGTGAAGAAAGGCAGCCCAACAGTACCAGATTTCAAACAAAATTAGAAATTGATAAGCATCAAAGCAATCTGGTACTTGCTAAGAAATATAATGGTCAATCAATGGCATAAATTAGGTACACAATATATAGCAGTAAATGACCACAGTTATCTAGTGTTTGATAAACCCAAAGATCCAAGCTGATGGGATATGAACTCAACATTTGACAAAAATTGCCAGGAAAACTAGAAAGCAGCTTGGCAGAAACTAAGCATTCACCAATATCTCATACCATATACCAAATAAGGTCAAAATAGATAAATGATTTTTACACAAAGGGTGATATCATCAGTAAATTAGGGAAGCATGGAAAAATGTGCCTGTCAGATCTATGGACAAGGGAAGAGTTTATGACCAAAGAAGGCAGAGAGGATCACAAGAAGTAAAATGGATAATTTTGATTATATGAAATTAAAAAGGGTTTGTACAAACAAAACTAATGTAGCCAAAATTAGAAAGAGAGCAAGAAACTGGGGGAAAATACATCAAGTTTTTCAGATAAAGGACTCCTTGTTCAAATATATAAGGAACTGAGCCAAATTTATAAAAATAAGCCATTCTCCAGTTGATAAGTGGTCAAAGGATATTAACAGGCAGTTTCAGAAGAAGAAATCAAAGCTGTCAACAATCAGATGAAAAAAATGCTCTAAATCACTATTGATTAGAGAAATTAAAACACTCTGAGATACCACCTCACACGTATCAGATTGGCTAACATGAGAGAAAAGGAAAATGACAAATGTTGGAAGGGATATGGAAAAACTGGGATACTAATGCACTCTTGATGGAGTTGTGAACTCATCTAGCCATACTGGAGAACAAAATCAAACTATGCCCAAAATGGTATAAAACAGTCCATACCCTTTGCCCAGCAGTACCACTACTAGGTCTGTATCCCAAAGAGGTCAAAGAAAAGAGAAAAGGACCTATTTGTATAAAATATTTATAGCATATCTTTTTTGTGGTGTCAAAGTATCAGAAATTAAGGGGATGCCCATCAACTGGGGGATGACTGAACAAGTTGTGTTATATGACTGTGATGGAATACTCTACCTCTATAAGAAATGATGAGTGATGGTTTCAGAAATACCTGAGAATACTTAAAGAACTGATGCAAAACGATGTGAGCAGAACCAGGAGAACACTGTACACAGTAACAGCAACATTGTAATAGTGTTCAACTGTGAAAAATTTAGCTACTCTCATCAAGACCATGACCCAAGACAATTCCAAAGGACCAATGATGAAAAATGTTAGCCACCTTCAGAGAGAAGTGATGAACTCTGAGTGCAGACTGAAGCATCCTTTTCTTTACTTTTTTATTTTTCTTGTTTTATTTTTTGTCTATGTTTTCTTTTGCAACATGACTAATATGGAAATGTGTTCTGCATGATTTCACATGTATAAGAGATATCAAATTGCTTGCCTTTTTAAGGAGAGGGGGTGAGGTGGGAGGGAGAGAATTTGGAACTCAAAATTTAAAAAAATAAACACTTGAAAAAATCTTACATGTAATTGGAAAATAATGAAAAAAAGTTTTTACAAATCTTAATACCTTCTCTCTGAGATTATCTCCAATTTATCTTGTATATATCTTGCTTGTACATAGTTGTTTATATGTTTTCTCTCCCATTAAATCTCGAGTTCCTTGAAAACATGGATTGCTTTTGGCTTTCTTTTCATCCCCAGCACTTAGCATAGTTCCTTGCACATGGTATGTACTTAATAGCCTAGGAAATGTCTTGTTTGCAGTCCCAGTCCTAAAAGCTAGCTAAAAGCTTATAAAATGCTTCATGAATATATCATTTTATCCTTACAACAACCCTGGGGGGTAGTTGCTATTATTATTCTCATTTTATAGATGAGGAGATGGAGACAGAAAGAGGTTAAGTGAGTTGCCCAGGGTCACACAGCTCTTATGTATCTGAAGCTATACTTTAACTCGGCTCTTCCTGACTCCAGGTCTAGCACTCTGTCCACTGGACCACCTAGTTTCCTACAGCTAATAGAGCTGCTTCTCAAGTGAGAGAATGAAGAAGGATGTTGCTGGATTGTGCCTACCCTCACTTAAAGCCTAGAGTGACATGTATGATGATGCTTCATACAATATGTTATGTTGGAGGCTTGGAGCAACGAGCATGTGTCTGTCCCTAGCGGGGTTCAACAACAAGTTTCCCTAAACAAGACAAAATATGGGATATTTGTTTCTTAAAATTTCAGTATGTAAAACAGCATCCAAATGCACAAAGTAATGTGCAAGGACACAACTAGATGAACTTGTGAACACCTAGATGCCTTTCCTCTAACACAGGATAGAAGAAAGACCCCACTTGAACTCCTAGTTTCTTTTCATCAGAGAAATATCGATGGCTATAGATTCCAGATTCTATCATAGCCAAGATTCCTCTCTGCCCCTCCCTCAATCACAACAGCCACAGGGTCTAGATGTGGTAGATGACCTGATCTGAGCACATTCTAAGTTCCTAAAGACACAAGCATATCTTAATTTGATTTAACAAATATTTATCAAGCACCACCTCCTGCATGCAAGGCACTCTTAAGTACACCCTAAGAGAATTTTTTTCTTAGCTCTCTGCAGTAGTTATATAAGAGCTCAGTTGTTCCATCATAGCCAGAAAAAGGATCAAAAAGTATCCTGTTCCTGATAGAACATTGAGAAAAGAGTCGGTTGGGCACAAACAAGGACTTTTTTCTCATCATCCTTCATGTCATTAAATTTAGTCTATTTTTTTAAGTCTCAGGAAATTTCTGCAGTTACTTAGCTGACCAGAAATAGGTCAACCACCAAGATGAATCTATCAATAAGAGTGAATCCATAAATCATGCCATTGTTTCCTCCTTGGTAAAATCTATTTCCTTTTGTGATTCTGATTCTGACTTCTGTGACACAATGGGCAGGAAATCTGGCTCAGCAGCAGCCTTGCCAACAAGTGAATTTGTAGCTTCTGAACCCCAATCTATATGTCAAGGTTCTGGGATTTTGTCAGACCAGGAACTTCTTTTGGCAAGGGAAATCACAACCAGCCAATAACTTACTAGTTTGGCTGAGTTTCAGAGTTTCTGAGGTTCAGAGAGGTTTGACTAAGGTTTCAGAGGCTTGCTAGAAAGTGTGAGAGGCTGGATTTGAACCCAAGTTAGGGCTTCCTGACTCTAGGTTTGAAATCCTGTGATATTTCCAACATCCGACAAATGGTCCTTGAAGGCATCAGATTTACTAAAGGATTGAGGTCTACTTCTTCACTGCTCTCTGCCTCAACTACCCATCCATCACCAGTCTCATGCTACCTGGGCATAAATGGCTCTAGAATACTATACTTACATTAAATCCCGAAAGATCAATGGTAATAGAAGGTTCATCATTTGTGTCTCCTTTTGGGGCAATCTGATTAAGCAAATGAAAGTAGGCCCTGGAATCCTATAAGGAAAGAAATCAAATTGATTTGTAAGATTCAATTTTTTACAGAAGTGTTAAAATTGTAGACACGATTCCCTTCTAAAAGGACCACATAATTGATCAAACCTCATAGGGTTGTTGTGAGGTTCAAATGAGATATATGCAAAGTGTTCAGCACAGTGGCTGGCACATAGCAAGTGCTATATAAACGATATTGTTGTTGTTGTTGTTATTATTAACATATGATGCTGGAAGTGACTTACAAATATCCAATTCAAGTTTAGGACCTTTGGGAATAATTGAATTAAAGACTGGTTTAATGGAAAAAAAAAAAGAAAATCCAATTTAATTTCACAAATATAATAATGGACATTTATAAGTATTTTAAATACAGTCCTTTACAGATAATCTCATTTAATACTCATAGAAACTCTATAAGGTAGGTTGTTCTGGTTTGATTTCTATTTTACAGACAAAGAAACTAAAGCTCGGAGAGAGGTTAGATGTCTTGCCTAAATTCCCATAGTTGGTAGGCCACAGAAGCAGAATTTGAACCCAGGTCTTCCCAACTCCAGGACGATTGAGCCATGTTATCTCTTTTTAAGCACCTACTTCATACAAGAGGCTTTGTATTAGACACTAAAGATACAAATTTGCTTCCATTCGACCCACCAGGCACCGGTATGAAGGAGATAAAGGCTCCCTGATCCCAAGGAGCTTCCTGAGGGAAAACACCAGGTTTGCAGAAAAACAGACACAATATGAGCTCTACACAGACGGGAGGTAGGGGTCCTATGTGTTAGAGGCGAGAGAACATTCCAGGCCTGGGGAACAGTCTGTGAAGAGGTGAGAGGTGGAACATTGTGTGTGAGAGACAGCAAGAGATCACTTTGGCTGTACTGAAGAGAACACGAAGGTGAGTGATGGATGATCCACCTAGCAAGGAAAGCTGGGCCAGATTGTCAAGGCTTCAAATGCCATACAGAGGCATTTGTATTTATCCTAGGGGAAACGGAATCACTGAGGCTTTTTGAGCAGAAGAAGGATGTGGTCAGATGTGTGCTTTAGGAATATCAATTTGGCCACTGGTGGAGGGGAGACGCTGAGTGCAGAGAGACCAATTAGGAGGCTACTCCAATAATCCAGGTGAGAGGTACTAAGAGCCCAAACTGGGTTATGGCTGTATAAGTGGAGAAAAAGGGTGACTTTAAGAGATGCTTTGGAGATAATATCAACAGAATTTGGTAACAGGCTGCATATAGTGGAAGTGAGTAAAAAGGAAGAGTCAGCATAACTCTGAGGTTGAAAACTTTGGTGATTTCAAGGCTGGTGGCACCCTCGACAGAAACAGGGAGGTGTGGAGGAGCTTCATGGCGGAGAGGGGTGGACAGGTAAAGAATTCTGTTTTGGACATATTAAGATTAAGGTGGCTATGGATCCAGGTGGAAGTGCCCGAAGTACAGTTGGTGGTGTGGGATTAGTGCTTAGGAGTTGTCTGTGTTGAGATGATAACTGAACCTATAGGAGCTGAAAAGACTACAGAAAGACTGTGAAAAGAGAAAGAGGAGAGAGAGGGCCTGGGACGGAGTTGGGGACCCAGTATAGAGATTAAAAATCAGCACAGGTCCTGTCCTCAAAGACCTTACAAACAAATACAAGAATAACAAGCAACCAAATAACAATGATTTCAAGTGAAAGTGTTGTTCAGTCATTTCAGTGGTGTTTGATTCTACATAACCCCATTTTGGGATTTTCTTGACAAAAGATACTAGAGTGGTGGTTTGCTATTGAGGCAAGCAGAATTAAGTGACTTGCCTAGGGTTACACAGCTAGTAAGTGTCTGAGGCTGGATTTGAACTCATTAAGATGAGTCTTCCTGACTCCAAGCCAGGTGCTCTATCCACTGCGCCACCTAGCTACCCATAAAAGCAAAAGTGAGACACATGCAAATGAGAGGTCCAGGGAAAATGCTATTAAAAAATGGAGGATGGGGGCAGCTAGGTTGCCCAGTGGATAGAGCACTGGCCCTGGAGTCAGGAGAATCTGAGTTCAAATCCGGCCTCAGACAGATAACACGTACTAGCTGTGTGACCCTGGGCAAGTCACTTAACCCCATTGCCTAGCCAAAAACAAACAAACAAACAAACAAAAAAAGAGAAGGAGAAAGATCACTTTAAATAGAGGGTGAAGGAAGGAGAGGAAAAAAAGGAAACTTGTCATGAAAATCTTCACTGAACCTGGAGCACCTAATTTGGGCCTAGAAGGGAGAGTACTAAAAGGAAACAGTGGGGTAAAATCCACCTGAGACAGAAGAAAATGGTTTCATCAAAGGTGGTGAGAAGGGAGAGAAATAGAATGAGAATTGTGGATGGAGAGAAGTCTGGAATTGTTAAGGGAATGAGAAAAAGATAGAAAAAGTAAGCTGAGTGAAGGTTATGGAGGGCCTTTATTTTGAAGAGTAGGAGTTTATATTTTATTCAGAAGACATTGACTGAAAAGGTCCTGGAGGTTTTTTGAGCAAAGGAATGGAATAAACAGATGAGTGAATCAGAAAGACTATTCAAGAAAACCTGTAAAGGATGGAATCCTAGACAGACTAAAATCAAAGGAAAATAATTTTTTTTTTATCTTCAGGCACATACAAACTTCAGCCAACAAATTTTAAAGTAACACTGGAGTTGTTTTGAATTATGCGAGATCTTTTATATTAGATAAAACTTGTAATATATCTTCTTAACTGAAAGCCAAAATAGTTTCCTGCAAGAAAATGTTTGCCACCTTTGTATAGAAAGATGAAACTACTGACCCCGTGTAGGATTACACATGAACTTTAATGACATGAGATGTGCAAACAATAAATGGCTATAGTATTTCAAAGCAAATCTCTAGCTGGGATGATCAAGGAAAGCTCTCCAGAGGAGATGGGATTTGAGCAGTGTCTAGAAGAACAAAGAGGATTTAGATAAGCAGAGAGAAGAAACACGGAGCTGAATTTATCCTGAGCTTTCTAAAAGAGAATATAATACAAGGGCCCCTGATTTTCTTTTTGCTATACTTTATAATGTCAATTTGTGAAACAAGATATTTGAAGAAAAAGGCAAACCTTAATATCCTGACTGAAGTTGCTGATTTTCTGCCATCCTGCATTAGTCAGATGAAAGTTTACCCATCGGAGCAAGAGTTCTTCTGGAGAAAGCTTCATGAGTTCTTCTAGTTCTTCTCCCTCACTTAGTAAGGCAATCAGGGCTAAAAGGGGAAAAATGATAAATTATTGCTATTTTAAGGCCAAAAGTATGCTTTAAGAGAAAATAATACCATTATTTTTTTTTTACCTTCATTCCTGGAAATCTCAATATCAGCAAAAAGACCAACTTTAATGATCTGCCATAGAAGTCCCATAACCAAGTGAGGTTTTCCTTCCTTCAGATCTTGGGCTCCAATATTGACTACAGTACAGCCAATGGCTGATGCTGAATTCAATGCGAGATTTAAGTTTTCCTAATTTTAAAAGAGAAATATTACCAGTCAGTTCCTTCAAAAGTCTTTCTACACATTTTTAAAGATTAATAAAAAAGAACATGTTGCAGAAGTTTCAAATATCTTTTATATTTCACTTCAACGATCTATGTTTTCACTGTGTGGATACTCCATCCGATAGTACATAGTGCAACCCATTTAGAACTTAATAGATGGTCTTCACATTTTGCTGTGCCCCAAAATTCCATTGTTCAGCAGTCACCTTAGGAATGAGTCTCTCTAAACTTAGCTGGACAGAAAACAGACATTCAGTTTAATAATGATCCTAAATTCAAAACCTCTTCAGGTTGGTAAAACTTGCAGGAATGTAGGCTCTACTGCCACAGCCTTTGAAAATCAGGGTCACCTCCATACCACAGCAAAATTTTAGTGGAGGTATATATTTCACAATTAACTAAAATTCAATATCACCAAATCTCCACTATTTAGAATTAAGAAAAATCATAAGGAAATTAAGTTTAAATAACAACAAAACTTAATCTTTTAGGCAATGAATCAGGAATTCTTGACTTTTTTTGAGTCCTGAACTCCTTTGGTAGTCTGGTGAAGCTTATGGATTTCTTTTCAGAACAATATGCTTAAGTGCACAAAATAAAATACATAGTATTTCAAAGGAAACCAGTTATGTCTAAAAACAGGTATCTACCAATTGAACTATCAAAGACTTATTTTATCAAGCTAGAAAAAAATAATAACAAAATTCATCTGGAATAGCAAAATGTCAAGAATATCAAAGGAATCAGTGGGGAAAAAATATGAAGAAAGATGGTCTAGCAGTATCAGATTTTAAACTATGTTACAAAGCAATAATCATCAAAACAATCTGGTACTGGCTAAGAAACAGAGTGGTGGATCAGTGGAATGGATTAGGTACACAATACACAGTAGCAAATGACCACAGTTAATCCAGTGTTTGATAAATCCAAAGATCCAACCTGATGGTGCAAGAATTCAACATTTGACAAAAATTGCCAGAAAAACTGTAAAGCAGTTTGGCGAAACTAAGCATTGACTAACGTCTCACACCATACACCAAAATAAGGTCAAAATGGATAAATGATTTAGACATAAAGGGTAATGTTGTAAGTAAATTAGGGGAGCATGGAAAAATGTACCTGTCAGATCTATGGATAAGGGAAGAGTTTATGATGAAACAAGAGATAGAAAAGATCATAGGAAGTAAAACAGATCATTTTGATTACCTGAAATTAAAAAGGTTTTGTATAAACAAAACCAATGCAGCCATGATTAGAAGGAAAACAGGAAAATGGGGGGAAATTTTACAACAAATTTCTCTAACAAATGCCTCATTTCTCATATACATAGGGAACTGAGCCAAATTTGTAAAAATGAGAGCCATTCTCCAGTTGATAAGCAGTCAAAGGATATGAACAAGCAGTTTCAGAAGAAGAAGAAACCAAAGCTAGCTGTCAATAGCCAGATGAAAAAATGCTCTAAATCACTACTGATTAAAGGCAGGCAAATTAAAACAACTCTGAGATACCACCTCACAACTATTAGTTTGGCTAATATGACAGAAAAGGAAAATGATAGATGCTAGAGGAGGTATGGAAAAATAGAGATACTAATGCATTCTTGGTGCAGCTGTGACGTAGTCCAACCATTTTGGAGAACAATTTGGAATGACATTGAAAGGGCTTTAAAATTGTGCATACCCTTTTTTTCATTTTTAAAAATTTTGAGTGCCAAATTCTTTCCTTCCAGGCCTTCTCCTACCCCTTGAGAAGGCAAGTGATAGGTAGTGATTATACATGTGAAGTAGCAATGCCATTAACTAGATCTCTACCCCAAAGAGACCAAAGAAAAGGGAAAAGGACCTATTTGTACAAATATATTGATAGCTCTTTTTGGAGTGGCAAAGAACTGAAAATCAAAGACATGCCTATCAATTGAGGAATGGTTGAACAAGTTGTGGTATATGATTGTGATGGAATACTATTGTGCTATAAGAAATGATGAGGAGAATGCTTTCAGAAAAACCTGGGAAGTCTTCAATGAACTGATGCAAAGTCAATTGAACAGAACCAGGAAAACATTGTTCATAGTAACAGCAACATCATAACAGTGATCAACTGTGAAAGACTTAGCTATTCTGATCAAAATCATGATCCAAGACAATTCCAAAAGACCCCTTGATGAAAAACTACTCTGCACCTCCAGAGAAAGAAGTAATGAATTCTGAGTACAGGTTGAAGCATTTTCTTTATTTTTCCTGTTTGTGTGCGTTTTTTTTCTTTTGCAACATGGCTAATATGGAAATATGTTTTACATGACTTCACATGTATAATCAATACCTATCACTTGCCTTCTCAAGGAGTAGGAGAAGGCCTGGAAGGAAAGAATTTGGCACTCAAAATTTTTAAAAATGAAAGTTAAAATTTTTTCAATGTAATCAGGAAATATTTAATGAAAAATAAAAATATTTTTAAAAACATAGGTATCAAAATATGTTTAAAAACAAGTTCATGGACCCCAGATTAAGAACCTCTGATATGGATTAATTAAACTTAATCCAATGTAGAGATAAGCAAACTTTTGTGTTGGTCTCAAAATGGCACAAAAAACAATGGTTTTGTGCTGGCAGATATGAATAACAAAAGAAAGAATATAAATGGGAGAGGGCTCAGTGAGATGGAGGGCAATAACTACCTTTTGCTTTAATTCCTAGCTTCATTTAAGGATCTTGGGGGAGATGAGAGACGAGGCTAGGTGACCTAGGCTCCACAAAACTTTTGTGGATTTTTTCAGAGGGGAGGAAGGAGGGGAAAGCCTCTCAAATGGGTTTTGGGGACACAGGCTCATAATCAGGGATATAATCAGAATTAAAAAGGCTGTTTTATCCCCAAGTCATATAGTAGTCAGGGACCCGAAAAACAATCAAAAGAACAGAGAACCTTAGCCTGGGACATTCTTCTAATTATTGCTGGCAGCCTAAAAATATTTGGTAGCTAATAGCCCCAACTATGAACTAAAAGAGCAATGACTTGCCCTTATTAAGAAGAGGCTGTCTAGTTACTACACTTCAGAGAAGTTTAGTGTGAGGAAGACCAGATGGCTCCAAAGAGCTTAAGCCTAGTAGATGATATACCATCAGGAGAGATACTCAGGAAAGAGAATCTAGGGGCAGAGATGATAGAAAGCTCAGCAGAGAGAGCTGATGCCCTGTACGGCGTCATACAATGGCATCACCAGAGAACTTTTGTTAAGTGTCTATTACAAGCAAGATAGCACACAAAGATTAAAAAAAAAAAACCAGCTCCTGCCTTTAAAGAGTTTACATTCTACTTGGGAGAGAAAGCATGTCAACTTTAGGGAGGCCAGTTTGGCTAGAATAAAGAGTACATGGAAAAGAGCAATGTGAATAATTCTGGAAAGGTAACATGGAGCCATTTTGCATTATAGGCTGAGGAGTTTGTATTTTTCCATAAAAGTAGCAGATTGACATGGTCATAAGCAACTATGTCACTGGACTTGGAGTTACAAGTGAATTCGAATCCTCTTCAGACACTAATTAGCTGTATAACCCTGGGAAAGTCATTTAACCTCTATTAGTTTCAGTTTCTCACCTGTAAAATGGCAAAAATAATAGCATCTATCTCACAGTGTTGTTGGGAGGGTTAAATGAGATAACATGCACAAATCACTTCACAAACTTTAAAGCTCAATATAATGCAAGCTATTATTGCTCATGCTAAAGAGATTTACCTTTGCCCCTTTTCAAAAGGAATTTGGCTCCTTGTTTACAATTCCCAGAAAAACCTTAAAACTTTTAGATTCCTTGTAGACTCACTTTATCTCTCTCAATTTGAAAGCTTATTCAAATGCACATTTCTTCTCTGGCCCTGAAAAGAACCTGGCTTCAGTTTGTTTGCCTTCCCAGGAAAACCTTAAAGTTTCAGAAATTGCTTTTATTTCCCTTTGAAAGCAAACTCCCCCTTCCAGTTCCCTTCATTATCTATTCTCATTGCCTGTTCAAATCCCTCAGACATTACAAATGGAAATTCTCACCTAGACCCTTCAACTGACTTCGCCTTCCATTGCTTTGCCTTCCTGGCCATTCCCACCCTTAATCCTAGCTAGGCACCACAAGGAGTTCTGTTCACCCCAGTTTACTAGCCACTACCATCCAGATCTCCTTAGACCCCTCCTCCCGTCACTCCAAACTGCTTGGCCACTCCTTAGACCCCTCCCCCAGTCTCTCTGTACTTAAGACTCACCTTTCCCCCATTCTGATGCTGAGCTGTTCTCAAGCCTAGAGGCTGAGACCCCTAATGCCCTCTCCTCCTCATCCACCCCAGCTCCGACTCAGACGCTGAGCTTTCTTCATGGCCCAGAGGCTGAGACTGCCTCAAGCTAGTCCTTACGAATGTCACCTGGCCTCCTTAGCCCCCAGCCCCCATTTAGAGGCTGAGAACTTCTCAGCCCAGATGCTGGCAAGCCTGCTTACAAGCATCACCTGACCACCTTAGCCCCCATTTAGATCATTGATGTTTGGGTTCCTTGGGAGTCTGGCCTATATGCTTCATTTTTAATAAACTTTTTCTGTGGCTGGAAGAAGATCTGGGTTGAATTCATTCAGGCAGATCCACAACGTGATCTGGGCTTTTCCCCATGATCTTGGGGTGCCTCTGTGCATCTAGGAGCACCCTAAAAACCCCCACCCTCTTCAATGCCTTGTAAGATTATTTGGCAGCTGTGTGAAAGATGGATTGGAGAGAGGAGAGGAGAAGAGAAGAGGTGAAAAGGGCAGAGGAGAAAAGGTGAGAAGAAGCAAGGAGAGGAGAGAGAAGAGGTGAGAAGAGAGAAGAGAAGAGGGGAGGGGAGAGAAGGGAAGGGAAGGGAAGGGAGCAAAGAAGGAGGGCTAGTTAGAAGGCTATTACACAGTTTAGGCAAGAAGTGATGAAACCCTGAACTGGGGGTTGCCTCATGAAAATGGATACAAGAAAATAGCTGCTAGTAAAATTATTGGTGTAGAAATCACCAGGACAAATGCCTAATTTGCTATCATAGTATTATCTCTGATATGCAAATCGCATGGAATTCCTTCCTATCATAGCATCTTAACTTTAAGGAAAATACAAATCCATATGTGTGTCCCTCATATACTGAAGTATGGACTTTTTCAATCAGCAACCAAATCCTGGTGGATCAGAATTTAGAGATGACTGCTACTTACTAATACCTCAAACCATAAAAAACCCTAGTTTTTAGCCTTGCCTTTATTGATGGGGTTGGGATCTGGGCCCCAGAAAGGAAAAACCCTGGACTTTCCCACATGGCCAAATCTCTGGCGTTCCCCTGAGGCTATAATCCCATTAGCTACCCTTTCATTATGGACCTCCCTATGGCCCCAGGCCATTTGTCCATTCTCCCTTGGCCATGTGGTCCAGGTCCCTGGAATTCTATTACCTCATAGACCACTTGGCCACTCCTAGATCCCTCCCAGAGGCTTTCTGTATATAAGGTCCATCTTGTCTCCATTAAGATGTTTAGATTCTTAAAATCTAGCCACTGATCTTTTTCTTAAAATCTATCCACTGCTCTGATTCTTATAATCTAGCCACTGCTGAGATTCTTAAAATCTAGCCAGTGCTTACCCATGTTCAGGCTCCTTAAGAGTCTGCCCGATATGACAGATGTTCTAATAAGCCTTGTCTTTAGCTGAAAGAAGGCTTGGGTTGAATTCTTTCGGGCAGGACCCACATGTTGTGATTTAGGGGTCCCAGCACCCCTGAGCCCCTAAACCACATCATTTATTACTTATTAGATCCATGGACTTGAAGAAATTAATGGCTTCTATAAGCTTTCTATAATCTCCTTATCTGCTCATTTTAAGCATGAAAATCTGCACTACTTACCCCACACAGTTTCGGTGAGGATCAAATACAAAGCTCTTTGTAACCTTAAAGGGCTATTTAGAGTTATTATTATTAAGATGCACATGTATTTTCTCAAAATAACAATTATTTTTTCATGCTTGAAAAATAAATAATAATCCTCCTCTTTTTTTCCCTCTTTAAAGTATGCTATCCTTTTTTTTCCTCCTTAAAGTATGCTATCTCCAAAAGAAAAAAAAATCTGCTTTAAGAATGCCATCAAGTTACATACTGAAATCTACTTGCAAACAATAACATTGGTTTAACACATCTTTGCTCATGCCCTTTGCTTTTCCCTTTGTTGGGGCTATAATCCTTTTAATAAAATGGCTTATATTTCAATTATGACAGAAAGGAAAGTAAAGAACAAAAACTTCAATCTGGGGGAGGTGAAGAGAAAATAAAGATAATAAATTTGAAAAATTTGGACTTGAGCTGACTCATGCCTGTTTTTCTCAATTATTCCCAGGAAATGCTGAAATTAAACTGTATACTGAAAATCTTTTCCAACTAGCTTTTCCAAGGACAGAATGTCCTACATTTACATGAATCATCTGTATGCAGATGGGGCCTTCTTTCAGTTGCCATTTGGTATTGATTAGTAATCTAGATAATCAGAATTGAACTTGGAAAATGCTAACAAGATATATCTTGAAGGGTTTAGCTTTTTTTATACATGTAAAAGTTAGAGGTTTTTTTTCTTCCCTCTCCCCCTAATTTTAGTCCAAAAACTATTCTGTTTGGAGAAATGTCCAACCTGGCACAGTCCTCTCGTGATCTCAGATATGTCTCTCCCTACAAGACATTTTGAATTAACATTTATAGGATTTTTAAATAGGGAAAATTTTACAAAACATAATTACAAGATTATGGGTAAGGCAAAAGTTAATATTTTGCTTCATCAGTCTAGAACAATAGCCACTTAACCTTGGAAAATCTTAAAAGGACTCAAACCTTCGGATCATCAAGGACTTTCCACTCCCTCCAGCTAGTCACCAGTAAACTGAAATCACCAAGGAATCTCCTCAGTAGGCCCAATCACTTTAGGAGAAGGGAGAAAGCAATCATCTTAATTAGACATGAAGTATTTCTTTTCCTAGGCCTGGTTCCCACTCCTAATCCATTTTCTGGGCCTTAGCTTTTGTTCTTGACCTTTCCTAAGCTTTCCCAAAAGAAAGGCTTAAGAGGAAGGGAGAAAAGGATATTAGTGGAGGGTATTGTTTCCTGAGAAGTTTACTTAAGTACTAATAAACTTTCTTTCCTGGTAAGCCTGGAAAAGATTTTACACTGGAGAAATATTCATTTTTTAATATTTCTATTGAACTAATAAAAAATTTTTCACGTGCTTCCACAAAGGTCAAACTACAGTAAATTGTCAGAGAAAGGGCCTCTGTTGGTTTATATTGATATCATTTTATAGTCGTTTTTTCCTACCCTAGGAACATTAGAAAGTCAACTGCTTCTTATGAGTCTTATAGAGTTTCAGTGTTTCCCCAAGGCCATGTCTTAATTCCTAGAGCTGACTTCTTGGGGAGGAATTAAAACTTCAGGTACCTGGATACCATCCCTCCAGTAAATATCCATTCCACATGCAATTCTCCCTATTCCCTTCTATTTCAATATCCTGAATCAATTCTGCTGAGATGAGCTGGAAGGAAAAAAAAGAAGGAAGGAAGGGAGGAAGGAAGAAAGGAAGGAAAGAAGGATAAAAATATGGAAGGAAAGAAGTAAGGATAGAAGAATGAAAGGATGGAAGAAAAGAAGGAAGGAGGGAAGGATGGAAAGAAGGAAGAAAGGAAGGAAGGAAAGAAGAAGGAAGGAAAAGATTAAGTGCCTCTTATGTTCCAGGTTCTGTGCTCAGCACTTTACAAATATCTCATTTGGTCTTCACAACAACAATCTTAGGAAATAGGTGCTATTATTATCTCTATTTTACAGATAGGGAAACTAAGGTAGACAGAGGTTAATATTTTAATAGTTTGAAACTGCACTAAGACTTTTGGAACACTGTGTGTATAAATGTGTGTGTGTGTGTGTAGATATATACACATGCAGATATATAGATATATATGCCTCACATGTCATGAAACCATGATGCAAAGAAAATTGTATAGTCTGTTGATACCCAATAGAAAAGGTCTACTTCACTGGAAAAGTCTGACTACTTACAGAAATAGTGAAAGGTGTGAGTTTCTTCTTATTAATGGCTCTTTCATCAATTGTATCTGGTTCAGATAAGTTGATCATTTTGCTGAAAGGATGGAGGAGAGAGTAAAAAAAATTATTATTTCAATTGCTTCATTTACTGCCAGAAACGTTTACATTTAATTCTTCTAAACAACCTTTAAGAGACATGCTAATGAGCTCCTTTTCAGAATTTCTTCATTGTAAAGGAAGTCAAAGCTAATTCAAAATCCAACATGTTTTCCACCTAAAGAAATTCTTCACTTCAACAATAGTTTTAGCATTTTAGAGACAGCTAGGTGGCACAGTGGATAGAGCACTGAGACTGTACTCAAGAAGACCTGAGTTGAAATCTGGCCTCAGTTAATTACTATCTGTGTGACTTTGGGCAAGTCACTTAACCTCTATCTGCCTCTGTTTCCTCATCTGTAAAATAGGAATCATAAAAACATCTACCTGTCAGGGCCTCCCAGGGTTGTTGTGAGAAATGAGATAAAATTTATAAAGTGCTTTGCAAACCTTAATTGTTGTGGTTCAATTGTTTCGATTGTGTTTGATTCTTCGTGACCCCATTTGGGGTTTTCTTGGCGAAGATACCAGAGTGGTTTGCCATTTCCTTCTCCAGCTCATTTTATAGATGAGAAAACTGAGGCAAAGAGGGTTAAGTGACTTGCCCAGGGTCACACAGCTGGTACATGACAAATTTAAACTCGAGTCTTCCTGACTCCAGGCCCATTGCACCACCTAGTTGCCTTGCAAACCTTAAAGTGCTTTATAAATGCTAGTTACTATCATTTACTTTTAGTCTGTGTGAACAAAGCCCTACATTCTCCTCGTGAGAGTTTAGCTTTTATTTCATTAATTAACATTAGCATATATTGACAAGAAGTGATTTTCATGGGAGTAAAATTCACAAAATCTGTTTGCTTTTCCAAAACAAACAAACAAACAAAAAACCACTCCAAGATTTTTCTTCCATGACATCATTTGATTCCTCCACTGAAATCCTGTTTTGATGTATGTAATTAAATATGTGTCAGCCAAGATCCAGCCTAGTTCAGTTCAGTGAGGTTTATAGTACCAGGAGGTTGACTACCAGGTGATATAGATATATATCACAGTGTGTTGATACATAAATAGACAGATAGACAGATGGATGGATCTATATTTTCTATGTCTATATCTACATGCAGATACAGACATAGAAAATATAGATCAATAGAGATATGGATATAGATATAGAAGTATACAGGAGCCAACTCATACTAGCTCAGGAAAGCTGACTACTAAATGTTCTGTGTGACCATAACTACCTCAGAAATTGGAAAATGCTATAAATCAGGGCTTGATTTATTGTTTTATTGATTTCTAGGCCTAAGAAAGTAATGGGAAAAACATTAATAATGCAGTTAAACTTAAAAGTGTGTTGTATGGATAGTTTTTTTTCTAGAAAGCTGTTTAGACATTTACCTGTACACCTCTAGATACATGCATACACACATATATGCATACGTACATGTACATAATATATACATATATACACATATTTATGTGTATATAAGGTATGCTGATAAATGTTTAACATACACATAATATGTACACATACATATGTATGTCTGTATCTAGGAGTATGGTGGTAAATGTTTAATGTGTGTGTGTGTGTGTGTGTGTGTGTGCGTGTGTGTGTGTGATACACGGTCACAACGATTCATGAAAGGATCTATAATGACATAGGAGGATTTCCTCTGGATTGGTGAAGAAAGTACCTATCACTCAGGAAATGGGATTTTTTAAATACTTAAGTAATGTATTAGTTAAAAATCCTTCTTGTGGCAGGAAAAAAGAAGGGGAAAGGACTATAAAATCATTGCAGGACCAAAGACTAGGTCCTTAATTTCCCATTAATTTTAAGTTTTCTGTTCATTCTAGCAACCTCTTGGCTTGTGTTTCATAATCTGTCCTGACTATAGTCACATCTCTGGTGGATAAATGTAAAATTGGACCAGGATTCTTTTCACAAAGATTTCTAGTTTTTCCTTTGTGAGCTGCAGGGTTGATAAAAACAGTTGCCATCTTCACTTGGGCATCAAAAGGAATGAATTCCATGAGGGTTCCAAAAGACTCTATCCCCAGTAGACAGGAAGATAAAGTCTTGACATTCATTCTCCTAATAAAAAACCCTCCACTTGAAGTTTTTCAGAACACCCAGAGTACACTGACATCATTGACAACATTGCTTTGGAAATGCATGAAAAGAGCAGCATTAAAAATAAAGAAACAAATTAATTTGGTGGAAACTAAAGTACTCAATCGGGCCTCTAGGTGGTATAATGGGTAGAGGGTGTGGCCTGGAGTCAGGAAGACTCATCTTCCTGAGTTCAAATCCAACCTAAGACACTTACTAGCTCTGTGACCCTGGGCAAGTCACTTCGCCCTGCTTGCCTCAGTTTTCTCATCTGTAAAATGAGCTGGCGAAAGAAATGGCAAACCACTCCAGTATCTTTTCCAAGAAAACCCCAAAGGGGTCACAGTAAGTCAGACACAACCAAAAAACAAAATGTACTTAATTAGCTAAGCAAGAGGTTTCTATCCATGTGAGTATTTTAGACACTTTATTTGCTAAATTATAATTTTCATGAAAAATTCTTCAACAGTGTTACATAATATTATTATATATGATTATATTGTTATATTATCATATTATTAATTATTAGGCAACCAGGTGGCACAGTGGATAGAGCCCTGGGCCTAGAGTCAGGGAGATGAGTTCAGAACTGGCCTCAAACACTTACTAGCTGTAAGACCCTGGGCAAGTCAACTTTTGTTTTCCTCAGTTTCCATGTTTTTTAAAGTGGGAATAATAATAGCACCTACCTCCTAGGGTTGTTGTGGGGATCAAATGAGATAATAATTGTAAAGTGCTT